CTGGCAGTGGAAGGGCCGCAGGGGCCGGAGGCTCCGTGTGTCCACGCACTGCACGTCCCGCACCGACGACCCTCCGCCACAGTTGCGGGAGCACTGCGGGCCCAGGGACAGGCGTGTGGACACAGCGCACGTGCATGCGGGGCGCTGACCCAGCGATGGGGGGTCACACCCCGCCTGGGACCACCCCCCAAGTCCCAAGGCCAGGCTGGGGCTGGACCCAGGATGGGCCAGAGGGGAGAAAGGCGAGTGGGTGAGTGAGGTCCCCGAGGGGAGTGGGGCGCACAGAGAGAGAGGTGAAGGTGCACAAGGGGCGGCCTGGGGAGGGTCACCCCCGCAGAGGTGCAAAGCCAGGACAGAGGCCGCAGCTCGGACCCACCACCCCCCAAGCCCTCCTCACGCACCTTACTCCAGTTGCCCGCGTGCCAGGTGGCGCAGGGACGCAGGTGGCAGCGGCGGGCGGGCTGCGGGCGGCCCTCGGGGACGCAGTCGGCCTCCTGGCCGGAGCTGCAGCGCACCGACCTCCAGGAGGCGCCCAGGCCGCAGCTGGTGGAGCACTGGGGGCGGGCGGGGGCGTGAGGGCGCCGCAGACCCCCCTCTCCCTGCCCGCAGCCCGCCAAGCCATCGGGGAGAGGGGTGCACGCTCCTCAGCAAAACGGGCTCCCCCCCACCTCCCCGAGGAGCCGGTGAGGACAAGTCACATCCCCTCCGCACCGCTGTGCCTGCTGGCAGGGGACGCGGGTGAGGGCACCCGGCTGTCCTGCCTGGTAAGGAAGTCTGGGGTCCTCGCTGGGCCTCCGTCTGCCCCCCCCCAATATTAGGGACCTGAACTGGAGCTCTCTTCTGCTGCAGGGACAATCTGGGATCCTCGGGCGGAGGGCAGTTGGGCTCCGTGTTGCTCAGACCCCTGCAGGCCCCGAGAGAACAGGGTGCAGCCCAGAGGCGACAGCCAGGTGGGAGGGCCACAGCCGCACCCTGGGAACCCTGCTGGGCCCAGCCAGGCAGCAAGGGACCTGGGGCAGTGCTAGGAGGCTGCTCCACCCACACAGGTGTCTGGGGTGAGCTCCCTGTCCTTGGGGGCATTCAAGCATGAGCTGTCCCTCATGGGTGCCCACTCTTCCTGTGCTGGTCAGGGAAGGGCCTCAGGGACTCCAGAGACACAGAGAGGTGGGACCCCTCGCCCCACCCCCCACCACTCAAAAGGGAAACTGAGGCATCCAGGTCCTGTCCCGCCCCACCCCCACCACCAGTACTTGCCTCGCTCCAGTTTCCTACTTCCCAGCTGGCATTCCTGGTCAGGGGCTGGTCCAAGGGGTGCAGAGTCCAGGCCTCAGGGGCCCTGCTGCTGTCGGCTGGCCTGTCCCCAGCTGGTGTGGACCACAGCACTGAGGTTGGGGGCACCTCGGGCTGGCCAGAGGAATCCGCACTCTGGGTGCTCACCCAAGGCTTGTGCCCTAGGCCAGTGGCAGTTGTCAGAAGGAAGGTCCCCAGCTCCACGGAGTCAGTACTTGGAGAGGAGTGGGTGATGCTGGTGGGGGACAACGGTGGTGATGCGGGAGCCTGGGGCAGGTGGGGCGCTGGGCCACCCAAGGTCTCCTCTTCGTCCTCAGAAACCTCATTGGTGGTCTCCCACCGCGGAGGGGGCGGCTGGCTTGGGCTGTGCTCCCCCACCGGGAACTCATCTTGGCTCCCAGGTGTCTCAGTGACAGAAGCGGGGGACCAGGGTAAGCTGGGGAGCCCCAGGTCTGGGGCCCCCGTGGGGGCGTCTTCCTCAGACAAGAAGTTGAACAGGAGGTTCCAGGGGGTTTGCTCCGACGGTGGGGGCGTGGTGTGGCCGGCCTGGCTGGGCCAAGGGGCAGGGGACCAATGTCCCGGCGCCCCCTCCTCTTTGTCCCCAGGAGGCTCTGTGGGGGGCTGGGCAGGGCTGCTCAGGGATGGGGTGGTGCAGTCCCCGGTGCCCGCCGGCTCTGGGCCGGGCTCCTCGGAGGGCTCGTCCTCATTTGACAGGTTCTCGTGGAACCTGATGAAGTTGTAGTCGTAGTAAAAGTCATCGACGAACGCGGGGCCCGGCGGGCCCAGCTCGGGGCCCTCCTCTGTGATGGCGTTGCTGCTGCTG